TCACCGTTTTGTGGGGGGTTATGTGCAAAGCTATTTGTTGTTACACATATGAATTAACATCAGTGATAGACCAATCAATCTGGCAAATATCTTTTGCGTTTTCAGATAGTTTCATTTGGCCGACACCTGCACTCACGAGGTCGATAAATCCTCCTAAATAACGTCTAATCTAAGATTCGAAAAGGTTTACTGTGTCGCATAAAATTGTCTTAGGTTAGGGTACAACATAAAAACAACAAACACAAACAATTCCATAACTAAATAAGAGCAATTGAGCAAAGCTGCATAAAAAGGTAGTGACAGTCTATTTGGCCTTAAAATAAAAAATAAAAAGGATTTTATTGCAGCGGGATAAAAAGAGTTTTTGTAAGTTGTTTTTGGCCAGAGGTGCTCTGAAGTGGTGGCCTGATGGGAAAAGCTGAAAGGAATGACAGAGTAATCTGACAGCATCACTGGCAAGCGTTTAATGCATACAGTTATACTGTAGAGAATAATGTACTAGTCACGCTCTGAAATCTACAGCAGAACCCAAAGTATGTTTCTATTTCATTCATTAATAAAACTTCCATTTGAAACAACACGTTACTGGCTGGGATAATGGTATTATACATGACTTTTCTTTGTTTTGAAATCGTCATTATACATCCTGCTCTCTAAATATCGGCATCGGCCGTTGAAAAACCCATATCGGTCAACCACTAATTAACGTGTCAATAAAGTTTATCTAACATGGAGCGTGCTGATGACAAATAGAGGAACATCATTCAGATTTCGTAGATATTTTAGCATTCATGGATGTTTTAAAGTAAACAACAACAACAACAACAAAAAAGCCTCACACATACACACCGATGATGCAAACACACTATTGACACACACACACACACACACACACAGGCTGCAGTTTCCTCTCTGCAGTAATTAGCTCGCTGAGTGTTAATCCCGTCTGAATTCTGCAATTCAACATCAAAGACGACGCTCAACAAAGCCACCGCCTGAAATTAGAGCTGCAGATATTTTTACCCGGATCCAGCTGCAAACACAAACATCTGCTTTTTTAAAAGTTCCCCTTCCTGCTGACGGAGCTGTGAAGGCCACACAGGCTAATGTTTCCTCTTCTCTGACCGACAGAAGCAAGTGAGTAATGGAGAGGGAGAGAGGAAGTGTGTGTGATCACAGAATGACGATGGAAGGTAAACTGGTGGTTTCAAGTCCTGGCCAACAGAACAACAAATACATCAGTGATGTTCAATCAAAATATGAGTTTGCTTTCAACAGCAAACCAGATGTCACTGCACCTTGTTTGATTTAAAACTCAAACTCTGATTTCAAATGCAAAACCCAAGCTACTTAAACATCTTTAATCATGACCTCTCAGGGCTCTAAAATAAATTGTAATAGATGATTTGCTCTCTTTAAAGCATCATATTCAGCAACTGAAGTTGACATTTGGTTTTTATTTTAGAAACAAGTCTTCGTTTTACCTTCAAGACCAAAAGGAGACTTGATTCTGCGGCCTTTATTTCTGGACTAAATTGGGAAAAGGGGGCTTTAAGTATGCTGTTCCCTCGGATTGGAATCAGTTGCACAAGGACCTGAAGCTACAGCCAGCAGCCGGTTAGCTTAGCTTAGCAATAAGACTGGAAATAGGTAGTCTGGCTCTGTTCAAAGCTCAAAATCTACCCTCCAAGCCCCTCTAAAGCTCTTAGTTCTTGGCAGGGACCAGTTGCCGGAGACTCCAGGAAGTCACCTTATGAAATGGTCCGGCACATAACACAGATTAAACAAACAAAGATCTAATATGTTAATTAGTGAGTTTATGTTGAGGGATAGATCAGTCACAGCTAATTGGTTAGAGCAGATCAACCCCCCTCCCTCCTGCAAACCTACATGATCTACAGACTAAATAAAAAAAGATACATACCGATTGTATGGGTTACTACAGTTTCTAGCTCACACCACTCAAAATAACTTCTTGTTCTGTGAGAGAAGCCATCGGTTTGTGTCTCCCGGTTCCTAAAATGCTAACGAGAAGGAGGTCAAACATTAGCCTGGAGCAGTGGGTACCAGTTGGCAGGGGTCAGGTCTGGCAAAAATAAAAGACAAATGAAATGAAAAGAGCAGCAGGGCAGACTGGTGTTGGAACAATTAGCAGGAGTAGAGCGTCAGAGTGCCGGGGGCAGCGTTCCAGTTTGCAAGCTATTCACTATGGATGCACCAAAATGAAAATTGTTGGCCAAAGCCGAAACCGAATATTATGATAAAATTTGCTGAACACCGAACATGTACATTCACATTTTTTCCATTTCTTTTGCCTTACCCCCCACTGCATAAATTAAATAGTCAAAATGTGCTTTTTCCTCAGTGTTTCCCACAGGATGTGGAGAGACTATGGTGGGGGGGGTCCGGGGCCCGAGAGGGTCCGGTAAATTACAGGAGTCCATTTCCTTTTAATGGACACATGTAATCTGGTTTATACTTTCTGTGAATATAATCCAGTTAATGTTATTTATATCCTGTACAGACGCCTTATTTTGAAAACCGGACGTTGTCACATGTGTATACTACTCGCACTAAATCCATCCAGTCCGACCCGGTTTGATAAATGATGTTAAATAAGTAATGTATTTGCGCAGATGGAGTGGATATGCTGGGAGACAGTTCAGCAGAACAGTGTCTGCAAACGGCCATTTTTGCGTCTTTCTCGGACACTTTAAAATGCTTCCACGCTGCTGACATGTTGACATAATTGTTTGGTAAAATTTAATTGGTCTTTTGACTCTTTTGAGACAACGCTTCCCTGTCGAAATGTATGCACTACACAAATTAAGTCCATAGTGGACCAGTGTTCATTTCCCGTATTTAAATTAAGTTAGTTAAGTTAAGTCAGGTAACGTTGTAATGTTAACCCAAACCATGATCTTTCCTAAATCTAACAAAACTGCAACGTTACCCACTAGTTTTATTTTGAAATTCCAACTGGACGTTGCATATTTTTTGTTGTTAACGTGGCAGCGGAGCCATACATGTGCAAAAACGACACTATAGGGTACCCAGGGTGTAACCAAGCGTCCATATGTGACGAGTTAGAAGTGAGAACGTGTTGGTACAAACGAAGTATCTGAATTGAGACACAGCTTGAAACTCCGCAGTATTTCCAGCAGTATAACTCATATATGACCAAAACGGAATAAACAACGTACGTTTATACATTTATAACCACAAATTCTGTCTGGCCTTTGCTGTTTTTGTAGGTTTAGTCACATAAAACCACCAGCATAATTGACTGGAATCATTACATGTGGAAGGTGCTGCTGTAGGCGGGGCTACACCTGTCCACTGAAACACATGGTCTTTGTCCCCATCTTGTGGCTGACTGGTAGTACTGACACCAACGAGCCTCACAGCGTTCTGTTCCCCTGACTGAGACTCATCACTGTCGGGGCTTTTTATTAGCCAGAGGCCTGTCATATGAATACTGATCAATGTTAAGAGTGTTTATTAATATTTAAATGTTTTTTAGGAGATTTATATTTATTGAAGTAAAACTCTCAGTAAACGGTCAACATTTAAGTAGTCATTTTTGGTACATTATTTTAGGTGTTTCCTGGGGATAAAGCTTGGTTTAAACAGGTTCTAAGAAATCAAGCAAAAGCACCAAATATTATCAGGTTCCAGCTTCTCCAATGTCTCAGATCTGCTGCTTTCCTCTATTTTTTGTCACAATAAACTGAATCTGGTTTTGGGCTGTTGGTCGGACAAAACAAGACATTTCAAGATGTTAGCGGGTTTCTCGGAACTGTAGTCTAAATGAGTGTAATAAAATCAACATATCAAGATCCAGCAGCAATCGATTGACGATTTGATTTTGATGAGTGAGGCCTGACAACCTGTCATCCTCCTCCTTCCTCCTCTTTCTCTCGTTAGTCTCTAAATCAAAATAATACATTTCTCGTTCGAGTTTAAAATTTTCAACTCACGCAAATGCCTTTGCGTTGCTGTCACCGCCCCCCTTTGCATTGACTATGAACGTAACTGTGCCGCCCCCGAACCTTTCTTCGCTTCTCGCCTACGCTCAATTGACGCTTTGCTAAGCCACGTCCCCCTTAGTTCAGTCCAGACCTGTCAGATTTATCACGGCACTTCCACTGTCTATTACTGCACCTCCAGGATAAATGTCTAATTTTTGTGGTCTCAGAAAGGAGGCCGAAAGGTTTGCATTTGGAGGTTGTCAAACTGACGTGAAACAAATAAAGACAGAAGCTAAAGCCTACCGATCACAGAGTAAAAGTGAACCACTGGAAACAGGAAACCCACACACACAGACCAGTTCCTACTTTTAGATTCCCACCACCCACTGGAACACAAGCTAGGGGTCATCAGAACCCTGCAGCACCGAGCGGACAACCTACCAACAAGCGGTCAAGCCAGAGAGAAGGAACAGAACCACATGAAGGGGGCGCTTACAGCCTGCGGATACCCCACTTTGTGAAAACACCACGAGATCCCGGAAGACCAACACAACAGGGGATGAGGAGAAGAAGTTCAAACGCAACAACATTGTGTCTGGAGTATCAGACATCATCACTTTCCAGGAAACTCAACAAGAATTTCCTCTTGGTCTCAAGTGACCAACGATGGTCATTCAGACTTGGCCACAGGTAGTTTTTCACGACCGTGACGGCTGCTGTTACCACAGCCAGGAGCACTAACGAACCAGCGGTATCGACGATCCTGGCAAACAATCCCACAGAGGCTAAATAGCTGAGTTTCCCTACCAGTCATTTCAGAACTGAAGAACTCTCTTGGATGAGGGACGAAACGTCTTCTAGGATCTTCAACCAAGTCCAGTTGCCCTTGACTTGAACCTTCTTTGGATAACTATGACCTGGACGACTGAGAACCTTCACAGACATATTTCTGGATTTGTTTTAGGTTTTGGAAAGAGAATAAATCGTACTTCTCCCTTCAACCTCTCTGGGTAGCGACTGTAACTGTTACAAGTGCCCCAGGAACAGCGTTTCACCATATCTTGGGAAAATACAGCAAAAAAAAAAAGCAAGCTAGAAAACGATTCCATTCGAGTCAGTGGAACGCAGCCATGAAAGTGTCGGACCTCAGATAGAGCAATTCCTATACTGCGCTGTGATTGGCCAGCTCCATATTCAGGGCGTGGCTTAGCAAAGGGTCAATTTTCAACAGAGACAACAACGTTCTCGCTGATGTTGTTATAACAGAACTCCTCTTGTGTGACAAATCAATCTGAACTAATGTAGCCTGAGCCTTCAGCAGAGGACAGAAGCAGGTTACAGAGGTCTGGTAAGCTCACATCTTCCAACTTTTTTTCATTTGTAGTCTTCAGACCCATCCAGCGTTGGCTGAACATCACTTGAGGACAGACTTACTAACACCACCTTACACTAATGGCTCTACAACTTTTTTCACATTTGCAGTAGTACTCCAACACCTGGAAATACACGCTGAGGTAAAACAACTTGTAGCTTAAAGAGTACCTTCGGTATGTTTCATCCTATTTTCTCATGTATTTGCGTCTGTATGACTAATGTGGATAATATTTTTTTGAAACTGGTCCAGTACTGAGCGAGTGCCCTGCAGCTGGCAGCAGCAAGACAGGACTGCCACTTTAATCCTTGCGGGCAAATGTACGTCCACTAAAGTGTCTGACAACTTCATGGAAATTAATTTTGACACATTTTCAACTCTGAGATGCTTGACAAATACTGGCCAGTGTTTTTCTTGATGCAGCTGATTTACCGATCTGAAAGTATATTTCAGATGCTTTTTTTAGATGTGCATTTGGTTCCATCTTCCATCATTACAGCCCAGTACACCAGCTGAATAACTGCTTACACTTCATTTACACTGCACGTGTTAGTGCCACTTGATGCGTATTTATAGGCTTCAAGTATCAGTGCCCATCGTTTTTTAGACTTTTTTCTGGGTCATAGGTGTAATTGACACCGGGGACGCTGGGGACATGTCCCCACCACTTCTCGAAATGGCTGATTTTGACCCCATTACCTGTTTTTTAAAGCATAACTTGTTAAACATGTTGAGAAAAATAGAAAGCAACAAGAATGTTAAATAACAAATAAAATTGCTTTGAGAAAGAGTTATTTGGATATTAAGAAAACATGCAGTGCAATTTAAATATTGAAGAAGCAAATGTGCATTGTAAAAAAAAAAAAAAAAAAAGACTATTATATTCCATTATATATATATAAATAATATGTGAGAGAGAGATATATTTACACCAATAATTGGTGCTGAACATTTCTCCAGGATGCAGGAAATTTAGTGTTTCATGTTCATAATTTCCTGGAGGAGGACCAAATATTTCAGCATTAAATATTTCATCAAAACAGTTTAAAAATTTCTTCGTCATGTCTCGTGACCTGATCTGAGACCTTACGTCCTCACCACTTTTCAACACAAAATGATGCCCTTGGTCTGAGTGCACATCAGTATTGTGGCTGATCAGATTCTGTTTAGACACCGACAGATGACTGCAGCTGCTGCTGAGTTCACAATGCAGTGCCACACACATGTACACAAGTAGCCGACACTTACTTTCTTTAGCCAACTGTGGATGCGGTGCCTTGCTCATGAGCAGGTGTGGTAGGAGGGCCAAATATTTTGCGTCCATTCTCTCACTGAGACGTCGCCAGCACAGGCTCCGTTCTTTAATCTCCTCGTCCAGCTTCCAGATAATCTCAGAGTGGATGTAATAACGGCAGGCATATGGAACACCAACACACTCATTCAGCCTGTCAGCAGACGCAGCAGCAGCTTGTTCAGCAGCCACAGTTGGTGCTTCGCTTAGTCATCTCTCCAGTTGGTCAGCGCAGTAATCGCCAAACTGTGAGTCTCTTTATGTTCACACAGATTTACTCTGAGGTTAACATCAAGATCGGCAACAAACTCAACCTGTCTATACTCCTGGAGAATGGTTCTCCAGACCAAAAGAAAACTGTCTCAGTGTTCTGCATTTGGGTTCATACAGTTAATCCCACGTAACACAATGTTAATATGATAGACTTGGTTCAGCATTTGTAAGCACCTCTACACTAAAGCACAGCTCTGAGCCTTCTGTTAAGTCTCTGAACGCTGCTCTCAAAGTGACCAGAGCGCAAACAACCCGGACCTTCAGTTCAAACTGCTACAATAGACACAAGGTCCAGTAACTGACAAAGTTTATATATGTGCCTTTAGGAACTTGTGGTCGACGGCACAAACACTGGAGGGCCACATTTTTAGCAGCATAGCTCCCCAGATGGTCAGTCGGTCGATCCACCACTCTACTACTATTGGATGGACTGATGTGTACTTTGGTTCAGACCTGTTCCCCACAGGATGAACTGTAATAACTTTGGTGATCCTCAGATCTTCCATCTAGTGCCAACATCAGGTAAAAAACATTTAAACTGTTCAACACTGGTTTATAAATAATGACATACCCATCAGCCCCAGCCGTGTTTACTGCTAATTAGCAAATGTTAGCATGCTAAATAGCTAAACAAACATGGTGAACATGGTAAAGCACTGTGAGCATGTTAGCACCTAGTGTAGCCTCACAGAGCTGCTAGCACAGATGTACACTCTTGTTGTCCTCATGTAGCCCCACTTACACAAGACACCGTAAAAACAGGCAACATTTCTCTATCTGGACGATCTTGCAGAAAACGGACGTGGTTCAGCTCAGGGAAGATCTCCACATCTCATACCTCAGCGGCATGTTTCACACTTTGCTCTTATCTTCACTGTCTTTGCACTGAAACTGCAAGATGCAGGTTTGAAATCCCCCGGCCTGTGCTGACACAAACTCTGTGTGTGGCGATTAAAACCATATTCTGCATCTAAACTAATTAAATTCAGAGCTCCACAAGAACCTTGCAGAGTTTTCCCTGTGGATGCTGGCTGTATAGATACCACTGTATAGTATAATAATTAGCAGTGCTAACTGAAGGCTAATGAGCTGGAAGAATTTCATGAGAGCCACCGCCGTTTCTGTGTTTACTCCGAAGATGCTAAAGCTCGGGCAAAACAAATCCCTGATGGATAAATTATCTGAAAAAAATATAAAGTTTCCGGATCAAAGAGGGAGGAGAGAGGAAGGCCATTTCCCCGCCGCTGAGCCTTTGAAATATGTCAAGGCCATCCTCTTCTCATCTCTTGTAGCTGAAGTTTAGTTCAGGACTTATTTTTCTTCTGGCTCACTAGTTTTCTGTTTTGTTTCAACACATAAAGACTTGTATAGACGACTGGGTTTTATTTCTGTGTCAGTTTACAGACTGCAGCTGCTGGAGAATCCAGTGATGCATCATCGTCTCTAACCGGACAGTGTTTGAGCCGGGACTGTACAGCTATCCTGACCTGTAGTCCGACCTTCAGCTCCTCCTCCTGGGCCAACCGGTCCGAGTCAGGAGGTCTGTCTAACCTCCAAAACCCCCAAATCTACACCTCCCTCAACCTCCAGTTCCTCTCTCCCCTCAGTTTACTCGGCTCATGTGGTCTTGTGACGGTAGGAGGAGACAGATGCATCAGCTGCACGAGAAATAAAATAAACTGGTAGAAGTGATGTGACCGGTGACGTCACTCCCACCACCCCACCAGAACAGTTAAATAATCTCCTGGCTGTAATCCTGTGTCATAACAGGCTGGCGAAACACCTCCTGCAGCGTTTTCTCACAGACTGTGTGAATCTGGACCAGATAGATTTAAAACACACACAAAGTTTGAATGAATGCTCCTTCTTCCTGAAGAACACACACTAACATCTCTTACTAAATTAATGACGATTGGCATTAAAACAAAGTGCATTTTGGGCAACTATTAAAGTTCAGAGAAAATATATTGATGTTGAAAAAACTAGTAAAACTGGGCTTAGATCTGTGAATCAGCTTCTGGGAGGACATGAAAATTAGAAAATGGTCCATAAACTCAGAGACACATATGACAGAAGCAAACCACGAGTACAGTGGAATTCACAAGAACAAGACGAGAAGATATTTAACACCCCCAGAACATTGAAAGCATTAAACACTTACTTTCCTGCATTCTAGAGAAAGTTTCTGCACCAATTTATGGTGGAAATGTCTTTATTTATATACAGGGAAACACAAAATTCAGCTCTCATTGAGACGCAAAACCCCAAGTTTTGCTTAATGCCAGAGGTAATTTTTAAGTCGGTGTGATTTAACACTTCCAGAAAACCTGACAAGCTGAGTGAGATATCCTAAACAGAGGTTACAGCGACACTACGAGTCTACAGCCATTAGATCAGACTTTATTGTCCCCAGAGGGAAATTCTTTTTCACAGCACCAATTAGCATTCAACATTTCACATATCATTTCCCTTCAACTGTACATCGTCGACAAAAAACAACAGCAGCAACAACAGACAGCAAGACTCCTGGTTTCCTCATTCTCTGGCTGCCCCATCAGTCGGGGGGTCAAATATAAAATATACCTCAGAGATGCCACAGAGTTCGGCTTAACTGAACTTTGTTGTACAAAAAATTTGTATTTTCGGAAAAGACATTGCTTTTTCTTTAAGATGTTACAGAAACAAGAATCTATGCGATTATGTGCACAGGTCAAAAAAATTAATCTTATGTGGAGTTCCTTTTTTTAAGTTTTGGGTATCGAGACGCTTGTCCACGTTGGAACCAGCACCAAGAACCGTGGATTCATTGAGACCCGTGCGTTTGCAGTGAGCATCTTACAGCCCATCAAAGCAAAATGCAGCACCTGCAGTAAGGAGGTTTGGTGCGAGGGAGGAAGCAGCTCCAAAATGACGACGTGAATATGGAGGAACGCACTGTGTTCAATGTGTCGCGCTCTCCCAGCTACAATAACGCCCCAAAAAGCGAAGGAGAAAGAAGAAAGTGTCCAAAGTATGGGATTATTTCTTAAATGACGGATCGATGAAATAATCTGTAGAAGTACGAGTACTTTAGTACTTTGAGTACTAAAATCATCGTTAGCTGCAGCCCTAAAGTACAATCAGAAAAGATAAAACAGGAACGATACCTAACCCTAAGGGCCAGCTGAAAACGCCACCTGCTGTTCTGAAAACGCCTTGCTGGGAGCGCTAGGGTGCGTTTTGGAGGCGCAGTGTTTTTTTTCGAGACGCTGTGGTTGCTATGATCATAATTTCCGTGGAGGCGATGTGCTGCCACTAGGGTAGCCTACTTAATTTTACTGAATGTAAAAATGTCACCACAAAGTACGTAGGCCTGCTTGCTCTGGCCGTTGCTCTGCATAAAGAGGAGGCTGAAACATGAAACAGTCCGTACGTGGGTTCATGAGATTTTGCGGGCGAGGAAACGGCGAGGAGGCACATCGGATGTGCTCGGTGCGGTTTTTGTCCCGCCCCTGAAAATGAACTGAAAATAGACGCTGGCGTCAGAAAACCAAATAAAAACGTTCCTCAGGGGAACATGAACCACATTCAATCACAAGCTATTAAATTAAAGTCGAGAAATTTCCCAGCAACACAAATGTCAACCTCCCGATGGCGCCAAATAAAAAGTTAGAAGATCCACAGGATTCTTCCTCTGGGGAACATGAATATCTTTACATCTAACAGTTCTTGAGATATTTGAGTCTCTACCAAAGACTTGCCCTCCCTCATTTACCCCCACTGAGGTGCCCTTGAGCAAGGCCCAAGGACCTTCCAGGTGTGAATGTGTAACGGCGTGACTGTGATCTCAGTGAAGCTCCCAGAATAAATAAATTTTAATAAACAAACTGGTGGAACATTGCAAACCACAGTTTGTTTAAAAAAGCACCGAAAACGTCATTTTCTTGTTTGATTTTTTCTTTGTAATGTTGGGACCCCCCCACCCACACACACCCACACACACACACACAGCTTTATGTGTGCGTGTTTCAAATGAACATCCACCGAGGACCTGACTTTCCGTCGACAGTAAAGCCTCGTCAGGTTTCATCCTGACCAGCGATTTTTATTTACTCAAACTGTCACATTAGATTTACCACGCGCAGAGGTAAACCACATCCTTATCATCCATGTTTCATATCCTCCACCACACAAACACACAAACACACACAAACACACACACACACACCTCGCCTGCTGCTGCCTGTCGCCTCTCGTATCACATTCCTTTACGGTGTAATTTATTTGACTGAAGATTCCCAAAATAGCATTTACACTGATCAGTGAAGTTGTCGCGTTCCCCAGGCTCCACAGTAAACACGTTACTCACATCTTTTACTTACAGTAAAAGCACCACAGTGAAGAAATACTCAGTTAAAAGCAAAAGAAGTTTGCATTCAAAAGTACAAAAAAGTGAGTTATTGTGCAAAATCTATATAATATTACTGGATTATAGTCAGTGATGTGTTCATCATTGATGTGGCAGCTAATTTCAATGATCCCTAATAAAACACTTTGATTTATATTTAGAATGAATAATCTGAGGAACTTCAAATACAATATTGGCTTCCAAAATGTAGTTTAAAATGTAAATACTCAAGTAAAGTACCTCAAAATTGTACTTAAGTACATTACTTGGGGCTAAGAGCAGTATTTTTTGTTACCAAACCCAGCTGCAGTGAGAACACAAGTGTTAAAAACCCACTGAAACTAGCACATCACCTATTGAGAGAGGCTTTGAGGAGGACAAACAGCTGGACAGAGACACAGCGGAGCGTCTTCTGGGACAAAACAAAACATCTTGACAGAACTCCTGCACACAGAGAGAGAACTTCAGAAACTGAGAGTGGAATCAGAAAGATGACTGCGTGGTTCAGGATGAATTTGCACACACGGATTAAAATGAAAAAGTTTTCTTTGTAAACGTACCTTTCATGGCAGAAATCACAAAATACATATTTTTAAATCCAGAGTCGTGGAGGAACCAGTACCAGGAGGATCCTGTGTGTGATCTGCAGCAGCTCTCTCTCAGCTCTGGAGCTGCTCTCTAAACCACATGAGGATCCATGTGACCGTGACATCATCAGTCACCGCCCTCCACACGCCAGCCCCGCTGACTGACACGGCGGTCAGCCAATGAGAAGAGAGGGGAGGTAAGCGGCAGCTCTGATAGGCTGTGTGTGTAATTCCTCTAATAAAAGGACTGTTCCACCTCTCTTCACGTCTCAATAAAGTTTTTCTTAATAATTTGACATTTTGAGCTGTGCTTATTGACTTTTCTTTCTGAGAGTTAGACGAGGAGATTGATACCCCTCTCTTTATTTCATCTTTTAAAATTTTATTTATTTATTTAAAAAAAAGGGACAATAACCATTAATTAAACATGAGGAGTTAAAGTGCATTATGTGAAGGTGCCGGATTTACCCATACAGGCTAATTTTCATCTGCAGTTTTCATCTGGCAGGTTGATGGCAAGTTTATTATTATTTTATTTATTTGTGTTATTTTTAATTAACCGATTCATTTTTTTTTTAAATTCACTTCAATAAAGCGCTTTGTAACTTTGTTGTGAAAAGTGCTGCTTAAATTCAGTTTATAATTATTATTTTTATTATTAGTAGTAATTTTTTTATTATTATTATTTTACTGGTATATTTATCATACATACTATTTAATTTTTATCATCATCATCATCATCATCATCGTCATCGTCATCATCATTAATAATAATAATAATTCTCATGTCTGCTAAATATGAAGCCATCGCAGCCTACAGATTAAACAAATAATATATAATCAGTAAGCTTTAAAGGAGCTGGTAGGTGGATTTTGTTGCCTTGTTTCCAGTCTTTATGCTAAGCTAAGTTGGTCGGCTGCTGCCTTTAGCTTCATATATATATAAATAATCCTGACACAAAGACATGAGAGTGATTTCAGTCTGAACAACAAACTCTCAGCAAGAAAGCAAATAAGTATATTTCCCTAAATGTTTAAATTGACTAATTTTCCTAAACAAAGACACTAGTTGCTCAGCGAGGTCGAAGCCCACTGACGGCTGATCCAGCTGTGCAGCCATCACTTCACTTCAAAGGCAAGGATGTTAGATCAGACAGCCTCTGCACAGTCAGCATGCTTTCAACCACAATGACTTAAACACTTCTGTTCGTTTTTGGTTTAGGATTCACTACGATTAAAAAAGTAAATCTGTTTTCTTCATCAGGACAGAGCGAGAGCAGCGTCTCGATGGACACATCATCATCCAGACTCGCACAAAACAACACATGACATGTTTGTGCTGCCTGCTTTCGTCACTGCGGTTCAGTTCAAAGAAAACAAGAGGGGGACGAGGCATGAAAAGGAAGGAAGGAAGGAGGAGTGACACACGGAATAAGAAAGCAAAGAACAAACAGCAAAACATGACCACGGAGGAAGATAAGAGAGGACGACAACAACAAGAAGCCACAGAGAAACGCAGCTTCAGCAGAACTCTGTCCAGTTGCATCCATCCATTCATCCAGCCAGCAGCACAAATCTAAAGATACCCATCGGCCGAGAACATGATCACCGAGCAAGTTGTTTATCAGATGCAGCAAAACAAACCACGAGAAGAGTTCATGTTAATAATAAAACACAAAGGTTCAGTCTCGTCTGTTTTCTTCAGACAGTGGTTTCTGGTTACAGTGAAGCACCGTTTCTAAATGACTTCTGTAGATTTGTTGTAGGTGAGTTGGAGCTGGGTGGCAGCAGCCGAGCCAAACCGCGGCGCTGATGGCTTCTTGTCATCGTGGCTTTCAGTTCCTGAAGTTGGTTATTCACTGCAAAGCAAACAGAAACTAAACTTCACGACCTCAACAAAGAAAGTCCTCGCTGATCTGCAGCTTGCCAACTCTTCTACATGTGTTCCTCCTTCCCCTGCTGACGAACCCGTTCTCTCTCCCCGACTCGTCACATATGGACGCAGGGTCGAGACCCATTGCAGTCAGTTTGTAACGCACTGCGGATCCCTGTAGCGTCATAGTTTAACGCCGTAGGGGAAGCCCTGTAGCGTCAGCCTTTGACGGTAAAGGCAGGTACATGATGTTTAACAGAAAAGACTGAGTAAGGAGGTGGTTGGTGTGGATGGAGGGCCAGAACCCAGACTTTGAACCAGGAGACCGGGGTTTGTGTCCCATGTGAAACAAAAAGTTAACTGACCTACGTAGTTATTTTAACCTAAACCAAGATCTTTTCCGAAGCTTAACCAAGTAGTTTTTGTGCCAAAACCGAACTGCAACATTTCACAACTTCAATAACGCGCCGTTTCAAAATGTGTCTATTTTGAAAGTCTAACCGCACGTTGCACATTTGTTGTTGCTAAGCGTTGCTAACTTTCAGGTCAATTTATGTGCCTGCACTGAATCTGCACTGTAGCCTGACGCGCACCTCCCCAAACTACATGTTGTGGTAACGCAAACCTTAAGAACTGCGATTGGTCGGATTGGTAGCATCGCGTTTCCTCCAAGCTCCCGGGAAGTGCTCCGTGCTTTGAAGCCAATTCTACTAGCGGCCAAGCCAGAGATTTCCCGGTACGCTCACGTTGCGAAAGAGCGGCTGTAAAACGGTGGATACATATTTTGAGCGTCACAACCCTCTGCAAAAGGCGTCATGGTAGTACAGCGGTTAGCACTGTTGCTTCACAACAAGAAGGTCCTGGGTTCAAACCTGGGTTGTCCCAGACCTTTCTGTTTTGCACTGGTGACTGCGTAGGTTCTCCGGCTTCTTCCCGCCGTCCAAAGACATGCTGAGCTTAATTGGTGACTCTAAATTGCCCTCAGGTGTGAATGTGAGTAGTTGTTCGTTTCAGTGTGCTCTGTGATGGACTGGTCACCTGTCCAAGGTGTACCCCGCCTCTCGCCCAATGTCAGCTGGGATTGGCTTCAGCCCCTCTGCGACCCTGTAGAGATAAGCGGGTACAGGCGTTGACTGACTGAATACATCAGAACTTGATCCGTTCGGTCCCATAACATTTGGAAAGTCTACAAGAGCAGCACGATTATCATTTTACCCCCATTCAAGTTAGTGGAGGGCTAAACTGGAAGTTTGCTGGCGGAAGTCAACACAGTGGAACATGGAAACCCCACCGCCAGCAAGCGCCACAGACACCAGTGCACGGGTATAAGTACTCATGATGGTGCAGGCTACGGTGCGAACGTGGATGCAGAAGTAAAATTGGCTTAATGACTTAAGACATTCTGCAGCCAACAAGTAGGACAATGACAAGCACAGTCCACAAATAATTCACTAGAGCTGTCCTGGTGATAACAGTATCAGGGCCAAGCTGGAGAAATTTTAATGGATCCGGACAAATTCTGATTCTCTCTTTACTGAACTTTGTGTTTTGTCGCTGTCAGTCTGCTGGTGGCGCGAGTTCAAATCAGACTGTGAGAACGTGGAAAAACTTCTGGGCGCACGGTGACCCTGAGCAAGGACGTAATTTTGTGTTGAAAAGTGGTGATTTAAGGGCTCAGATTAGGGACGTGACGAAACACTCAGCCCACGAGACGTGACATCGCACAAGATTAGGTCCATGAGAACAAGACACGAAGATAATGTAATATTATTCAGATAAAATATTTATTAATAAAATATATGGTGGGGGGTCTGCAGATTTTGAGCATTAAACACTTAATTTCCTGCATTCTGGAGAAATTTTCTGCACCAATTTATGGTGGAAATGTTTTTATTTTTACAAAAGGAAAAACGAAATTCAGGTGGCTGATGACAGTTCAGAATATAAAATATAATATAAACAGATCAGTAGTTTATACATTTTTTTTTTTAGCTTAAGTTACTTATTTTAGACAATGCAGATGTTTCATTTATTTACAATGCATTGCAGTTTTTTTTGTGCAAATCAACCTTTCTCATAGCACTCATTTGTTAATTAAAATTTTATTTTTGGAACATTTTTAACAAAAGCTTTCATAAAGTGGTGGGGACATGTCCCCAGCGTCCACAGCGTAAATGACATTGACGCCATTTACCGCAGTGATTAGCATACCGTATCAATTTAAGCTTATGAAGTGAACAGCTTCTGGATGAAAAAGACTGTGAAATGAAAGGTTTGTTTAAGATTTAATCATCATTTAGGTAAATGTCTCTTATTGGACTCAGTTTTAAAGGACTCAGATGGGGATCGTGGTCCAGACCTTAATGGAAATCTGAAGGACTTTAATAACTTTAAACTAAAATGACCTGCTGTTATTTCCCCTCCACAGTAACTGAATGGTATTTAAGTGCCGTTGAGCAATGCTTTCACAAATTAGCTTTATTGGCATGAATGTATAGCAACGATTTTGCCAAAGCTACATATAAATTACATAAGAATAATTAATTTCATACATTTCATTAAATAAGGAAATAAAACAGTAAAAGTTGTGTTTGTGTGTGTTAATAAAAAATAAAATAATAATAATAAAAAATGAGAATTCTGTAAAAATAAATAAAACAAGCTGTGTGTGTGTTATAAAATGAAAATATATTAAATTAAAATAAATAAAAGAGCTTTCACTCCCATGCTGTTCCAGTGGATCTGTGCAGAGGAGAAAAACTTCCTTCAAAAAATAAAGTTACATAAGTGTGAGGACTGAAGTACAGCTGGAGTTAACAGCACTTCACCCAACATCCCACTCTGCTTCATAAAACAAATCCCGACTGAGCCGCGGAGGTTCGGCGAAAACCATTAAGCTCCCTGAAAACAGCCTGGCAGAATAAATCTCAGTGTGTCGAAGACGTGAGCGCTGCAGGCGAGAACGACTCCTGCCAGCAGAGAGAGAGGAAACTGAGGAGCAGCAGGAGCTTCATTCTTCCTCCAAATTGGCAGAACAGGGGGACGATTTACGCTTCGGCTGGCGGCGGAGCTCTCCTCCTCCTCCTCCTCCCCTCATCACACCCAGTCAATAGATTCACAGCAGCACGTTACGAGCTGTTTGGAAAATGCCTCCGCAGCGCCTGAAGGATCAGTGTTTCTCCCTCCGATCATCCCACGCACAGTCGACTGCAGGAGGATCTCACATCCATTATCCATCCTTATCAGCTCTAATGAGAGAGACTCGGCTCCGGCAGCGGCCGCCGTCGCACATTTCTCCTCATCTATCCGGCACATTCGGCAGGACGTACATGTTTTACAGTAAAAACTGGTGCTCATGTGGAAAAAAAAACAAAAAAAACAACTTTCAGTGCACCAGCTGTGTTAAAAACTCGCTTAAGGGTCAAAGTTACACAAAAAAAATGTTTCTTATGACTTTATCTCTAGTGGGATCTAGTCATGCAGACAGTTTTGCTTTCTCCACCCCACACTCAGGGTGAATAGTTAGTTTAGGTTTGAGAAATGCTGTCCCAATTAGTGAGATAATCAGTCATCACTTTTATAAAGTAGTTCCTACCGAAGGAGTGGTGTCAACTACTGAACAGTGCAACCAGTTCTCCCTCCCCGACTCGTCACATATGGACGCAGGGTCGAGACCCGTCGGCGTCAGTTTGTAACGCACTGGGGATCGCTGTAGCATCAGCTTTTGACGGTAAAGGCAGGTATATGATATTTAACAGAAAAGACTCAGTAGTTGGGGTGGATGGAGGACCAGAACCCGGACTTTGAACCAAGAGAGCAGGGCTCGTGTCCCATGTCAAAGAAAATGTCAACATTAAATATTTTTATTTGAGTTATGCGTGATATGTAAATTAACTTACGTGTTAGCTGATGTACGTAGTTATTTTAACCCAAATCGGGATCTTTTCCGAACCTTAACCAAGTACTTTTTGTGCCTAAATCGAACCAAACTGCAAATTTTCACGACTTTAATAACGTGCTGTTTCAAAATGGCCATGTTTTGAAACGCTAGCGTTTTATTTTGAAGGGCTAACCGGAGGTTCCATATTTGTTGTTGCTAAGCATTGCTAACTTGCGCCGCGGAGCCTTAAACATCTAAAAATGGCGCTTAAGTGGTACCCAGGGCGTTAAAAAGCGACGCCAAAGGGCCTCCACCAAGCTTCAACATGTGACGAGTCGGGAGTGAGAACGTGTCGAACACTGACTGTTTGGGAACTTTGTGACTCTCTGCACAACGGTTACATTTCAACTGTACCTTGTACGTAGCCTATATGTTCCCAACTGAACTACCTGTACATCAAGCCGCTCCAGTATTTTGCTTTACTGATTATAGTAATTTACACACTTTATTTTATTTATTTATTTAATTACAACCTCAATTTAGTTTAGCTCAAACTGTTATTAATTTTGTGTTCATGTTTAGCCGGGTTTCCACCAAAAGTACCCGGAACTTTTAGTCCCAGGATCTACTTCTCAAAGGAACCAAAAGGTTCCTTCAGCCCATTGTTGTGTGCGTTAACATCTGCGGTCTAAAGACCTGCGAGGCAAATCAGGATCAGCATCGAATCTTCGACTATTCGGGGTCAGCACTAGTGTTGACTATTTCAGAAGTTTGTCAGGGTTGCCACCTGTCCATTAAAATACAGAAATGTCCCATGTTTCAGAACTAAATAGCGCGTCCCGTCCCCAATACGGGACGCACGTATTTCCGAGTTGTCTTTTAATGTAGCATTCCATGCAAATCATCCCCCCCCCGCATTCTGTGAAGACTTG